AGCCGTCTTTTCAATTGCTTGAAAATGTCATCACCGAGGATGAAAAGTGGGTGCCTTACGTCAACCACACAAGAAGGAGGGGTCAAGGTTGCCGGTCAGAAGCGAAAGAAAACTCCACAACCAAATCTTCAGGAGGAGAGGGTTCTTCTCTCAGTTTGTGAGCGCCAGGGAAACCCTCTGTTACGCATTCTGAATAATACCACCACCGTGGACGCGAAGGTATACTTTGCATAGCTGCACAGACTCACAGTGAAAGTCGCAAAAATCAGCCCAGAATGGAATGAAGTCTGGTTCCTTTCCTTGTTATAACGCGCGCCTGCATGCGATAAAGATCCACGATACACTGAAAGAGCTTAGCTTCACAGCATTTCCTCACTGACCATATTCACCGACTGCTGTTCCAACAAACTAACATCTCTTCTCACATCTAGCTCATTTCTCGAAGAAAAGAAAAAAGACGACCACCGACATCAAAGACGTCTTTAAGAAAAGAGGCACGCACTCCTTTGTGGATCGCGTGAGGAGCAAAACTATGGACAACTGTAGAGATTACTGTTTGCAATGAAGATGAGTTCGAAAAATATTTGGGTTCCAGAGAATAGGTTTCAGATCCGTTATTGCTTATCTTGCGCTCTAATGGATGGTATACTCGCTACCTTCATGATGCTGTTCATCTTGAATTTGATTTTTCTGATTGCCTTTTTACACACTTGAAAAAATATGGCGAAGAATCAGAGCAAGTGGCAAGTACAGAGCACTTCTTATCACCATCATTCCTGATTTTCAAAAGGTGCATAGAAAATTGAGAAGGAAGTTATGAGGACCGTTGGTCAAGAAAGTCAAACAGATGCGGCATAGGATCGAGCGAATCTTCATTCTACCTAATTCTCTATAGACTAGTCCATGCTCGACCTTCTTACAATCTTGTCTTGATTATTTAACCTGGGGTGCTTTCTTCTCCGAAGCCAATATGGTCATAAATATTTTAACGTGCTTGCTCAAACCCCTTCACAGAGACTAACAAGGAAAGTCTTTGAGGGCGTGGGACGCTTTTCGAAAATGGTTTTTTGTATGGTATAGGGGCATGAGCACTGAGTGTAGAACTATAGTCCATTTCCGCTGAATGGCCTTCTGAATGCCAAAAAAAGGTGAAAATAATTTTGTCAAAAACTGCCGTTTTGACCAACTAAGCGTCGTTTGTTTCATTCATGGTGTCGACTTTCAGCAGAGTAGAAGGCGCCAGCGGACTGCGCATTGAAAATAACGTGAACGGTAGCCAAAAAAGGGCTGACTTGCTGGAAAGTGCGGGGAAGTTTCATGTGTGCTCTCCACGGTTAAGCTGCTAACACCGACGGATGGTGTGGTGGATAGCGATGTGGAGTTCGAGTTGGGACGGTTGGACTGGGTTGATGGTCCGAATCCCTTGGGCTTTGCCGTTTTTGCATTTTATGCTGCCACCTCCAGATTGGCTCCATATTGCACTGGGCCAAAGCGAGCGCCTTACTGATCATGGTAGTGACCAAGACCACCCATAACCTATACAAATCGTTAAAATTGGATGTGTGGCGCACTATCAGTGAAGGGGCTCCCAGGCTTCACACTCATAGGAGTATAAAGGGGTCTCTTTATTTCACACTATATGAGTGTTGTAACGGGGGTCAAAACCCTATAATATGGTTCCTGTTTGATGGAAGCGTGCTCGACCTCTTTCGTCAATGCAAATATAACAGGATTCCCATATTTATTGTAGCTCCCTATTCCCTGGCGTCAACAACCGCGGACTTCAGTGTGAGAACGAATCAGATTCTCTTTCAAGTGTCTTCTTGCTGAGGGATCCATGAGCTTCGGGCTTGATATAAAAAGCTGTCACCCTTGAAGGGAAATCATTTAAGTGCCTGATTACTAGATTAATGACTAGATGAAGGGCTTAAAGGGTGAAATGGAAGGTTAACACCGCGTCTTGCTATGAAAGGCTGGCAGGACACGATCAAGAAGGACATTCCTGAAATCGAGGTGACTGCAGAAGATACTGATCGTGAGGAAGATAGAAATGGAGATGACCAACTAGAACAGTGGACAAAAACCCTCCACCGGCGCGAGATCAGCCTGGGTAAAAAACTGTGAAGTCTTCGAAATTAGATGCGCATCTCATCAGTTTTGAATTAATTCGGTCGAAATAAAACAACAATCAAACCATTACTGTCCGAATCATTCGAAGAATTGTATGGACTGTGCAATGTCCATACAATGTCCGAAGACCAGATGATATATAGAGTTTTTCGACTACCAAAATGATATCATCCCAACTTACCAACATTTTACCAACCGAATGAACTCTCGATGTGAGGGATGCAAAAAGAGCAACTGATGAAAAAACCACGTCAGGAAGTAGGGGGGGGGATGTGAAAGGGGGACTCCTGTAAGTGTGAAGCCTGGGAGCCCCTCCACTGATAGTGCTTCACACATGACATTCTAACGACTTGTATAGGGATATAGGTTATGGGTGGTCTTGGTAACTGCCATGATCAGTAAGGCACTCGATTTGGCCCTGATGCAATATGGAGCCAATCTGGGGGTTTCAGCATAAAATGCAAAAACCTCAAAGCTCAAGGGATTCGAATCATCAACCCAGACCAGCCGTCCCAACACGAAGTCCACATTGCTATCCGTCACACCATCCGTCGTTGTTAGCAGCTCAACCGTGGAGAGCACTTATGAAATTTCCCCGCACTCTTCAACATGTCAGCCCTTTTTTGGCTACCGTTCACGTTATTTTCCATGCGCAGTCCACTGGCGCTTTCTACTGTGCGGACAGTCGACGCCATGAATGAAACAAACGACGCGTAGTTGGTTAAAACAATTTTTGACGAAATTATTTCCACCCTTTTTTTGGCATTCAGAAGTCCATTTAGCGGAAATGGACCATAGTTCTATATTCAGTGCTCATGCCCCCATACCATGCAAAAAACCATTTTCGAAAAGCGTCCCACGCCCTGAAAGACCTTCCTTGTAAGATTCTTCAACTAGACTCCGAAAACTCGAGGGTATTAATTTCACCGAGAGATAGGACTGCTCACCTCAAAGTCTGCCACAAAAACATGAGGACGACCACTCCGTACTAAATTTAGACTAGTAGCCCGTTCTACTGTCCTCGTAGTATCTCAAGGCTAACGAAGCTCATTTGATTGTCTCTAACCATGATCTGCGCGCCGCCACGGCGGAATCCGGGACAGAGACGTCATAGGATGAACCCGCATCGTGTAAAACACGATGAACTTCTTAGGGGATATGCGTTCTTGATCTAACCAGCCCATCCGAATTCTCGTCAACCAGCACACAGAGGGGGCCATCTGTTTTCCCTATGTACTCGCTTCTGTAACTCTGAAAACGTGTAGAGTAGATAACTCCCACCATCATACACACACGCTCTTTGCCATCCTTCGGGAACATCTTGCTCGTAATCTTCTCTATAATACCGTAAGTGATACTCCTAACTGTGTGATGTGATCATATAGCAAAGAGAATGAATGCATGAAGGAGGTACTGGTCTAATCAATACGCTGTAAGAATTACGGAAGCGATTACATAAGGGAGATTAGGTCTCCCTCTTGCGTGCGGGTTGAAGAGCATCTGAATGGTTTGGCCACACCATGAATGCGTACCCCCTAAGGAATTCATTGGCTTCCATACAACGCGGAATCACCCCATAAAGTTTCAGTGTCTCTAGTGGCGCTGGATCTCAGTATCGTGAAGCGCAAGATTCTGGGAAGGTTTTGGATCACGGCTGAAGGCTCTCAAATAAACAGAAGGCAGGTGCATGGCCATAGCCCGCAATCCCCCACCCTTCCACGGCCTTTGTTGCATTCGATCTACTGCGTTAGTGGGAGATTCTATTAGTCGTAACATACTCGAGTCAGTACGAAAGCCTTTGTCTCCCTGTTATAGCGGCGGGCTTCGAGGTAAACAGCCTTTGCCAAATCAATTCTTTCGAAAGCTCGCTAGCCTAGTTGAAGAATTTTGAGGCGTTTGAGTGAGCAAGAAACATATGCTTCTGACCATGTAAGGCTCTGACGAAGGCGAAGCAGCCGAAAAGACAACCCAATGAAAAGTTCAATATTCAAAAGGCTAGGCTTCAAGGAGCACCCCGATCTCACCCTGTATCCGGGACTTTTGTCAATGTAGTTCGATTTTTTGTTGCGGTTGTACAGAAATTCTAAAATAGGTTTATCAAGATCCCAACTTCGATGCATATCACGATTCCAGGATGCAGATTACCCCGTATCTTGGACACCACTTCTGTTAATCCATGGACGACCGTGTGGTCCGCCGGGGGGCCACAGCAACAGTTCGCGAAAAGCGCGCTCGGTCCAATACGTCAGGCACGCTTATGCGCGTTCGCCAACGGGTCAATCCGTATGTGAGGGGTCATAATACGATCATGGGCTGAGTGAGTACAGGGAAGTGCAGTATTAATAAAGAAATCCTTGCAAAGCGGCCCACCATTATCCCAATGGACTTGCAATACTGTGACACTCGAGCAGCTTACCCATTGTTCATATATGCATTAAGGCACGTTAAACCCCCAAGACGCTCGTTAGAGAAACATATACGCGCCATGACGATTTTCCATCAAATTTTTGGTACGTCATTTTCGTTTCCTCTATATTGGTGTTTTTGAAGAAAGAAAACATATTGGCATGGGAACCACAACTGCATTTCGTTAGTTAAAAAAGAAGTGAGCGACAGGGTTCCACGTGAAACTGACGGATACGGCCAGCTTCAAGAACTCTCAATGCGTGGGCACACAGAATCTCAATGCGTAGGCACACAAAAATTTGTTTAACAGCGATAAATATTTTCATGCATTAATTTCGTTCCAAGGACAGACAGGAAAGTAGTCCAGAACGCCGGAGGATGTGAGCGACTAGAGCACAACTATTGTGCGTAAAAAAACAGTATCGCAGAGGATTCCTGGTAAGAGAAAACGGAACGTGTCAAAATTAGATGTCTAGAGAAAAGTGCTCAAATGCATAAATGCATGACCTGAAGTATAGAAACGCTTGGAGACATGCGCACACTTGTACTGGAAGGAATGACAATGCTGCTGAGAAGAATGGATACCCTGGAATAGTCTATCTTTGGATATCAAAAGATTACAACAAACATTTGTACCGAAAAGTACCGTATAGATAGCTAAATTTGCTAGGTTCACCAGCAGAGTTCGGTTTCATACGAGGTGCTAGCTCATCGTCTACAACACAGACAACCATGAGAACAGCAGTGGAAAGAATAATGCCTAAAAATCAGGAAAAAAAATTGAAAGAGGAGTATTGTGGACTGCACACATTCGCTAGCATAGTTTCAGTCACTATTTCTTCAGGAAACTATTCCAGCACTAGAGCTTCTTCAATTTCTAGGTAGTTGGAACTTGTTGGTTCATCAGGCAAATATCTCAGAGAACATAAGTGCTCATCCTATCGGCGCAGAGCCGGCATGTTTGATCCGTAGGTTGAGGTAGAAAAGGCAGCAGAATTAGAAAGTGATAGTTTTTTTTTCGGATGGTAATCATTGCAATGACCACAACATAAATCATATTCTCTATTGCCCGTCAGGACCGCGTGACTATCGTTATAGTCAACGTCGAAGGCATTTTTTGTTTGTTCTGTAATAGAAGATGCTCCATCAAGTGATAGCTCTTTTCAGATTCTACTACTTCGACCACGCAACCGCTTTTCTCTCTCATAGCTCTTGATCCTCCCTACAGAGCTTCACTAATTTAGACGTTACTTAATAACCAGTCGGGTCACCAGGTTAGCATCTCTCCTTCTTATGACAGAGTTGCAATAATCGGCAAACTGGCCGCTCCTTATTTGCAAAATGGTGCTTTTTTGGAATGGTGTTCAAAATGTGCCAATACTTATGCCTATGATTAGAAGACTCGATCTGTTGCTGTTCATCTTGGAAATAATAACCCATTAAAGGTTCAACTGGTAGGCAACAAAAGCTTTGAATGGTACTCACAAATGTTGCCGACTCAGAATAGCACCATTATCAAATGTCCTTATCGTGAAGTTTCCTTTCTCTACAAATGCATCATGAGATGAGATTCCGAGACAATTAGTGGTAGAATAAGTTTTGCCAAGAATGATATTGAAAGAAAGAGAAACAGTGCTCCTTCATTGAGTCGCAATTTTGCTGGTAGCGGTCGTAATCTAGTGGCAAGAAATGAAGCAGTTTCTATCTCCTCATAATTTAGTACCCTCTCTCTATCACTGCACTTACCCTTCTTGGTGAATGAAACATATCAGAGAAACAAAGGTAAATCGTAAACAACAAAGTCGTTAGGATTTATTTGATGAATGAATCCCGTCCTCTGAGGCCTCCTCAATCGTCAATGTTCCCATTCTCTCGTCAGCGTTCCCATCATGCCTCCTCTACTCCTATGAATTTTGAACTCTCCAAGTCTACGGGAACGAGAGTTATGGGTTCCCGCTCGAACATTTATTTCGCAGAGAAGCCTCCTTTTGTGAGTGAGGGGAGGGGGGGGGGAGAAGGTGCCCGGCCCTCCCACCTATCGTGAGTGTTTCCATCCTGCCGCCTGTTCTTCTACCAAATTTGAATGTAGTATTAGAGCTGATTAAAAAGTTTCGATAGGGTTCAAATTTGTACTGTTTTATTTTACAGCTCAGCAAGCAATGCAAGCTAATCAACAATATAATGATTATCGTTACTTATAACATTGTTTCACCTAATAGGCAGGTCAGCGATTCTCTTCTCCCAAAACAGGGAAGATTGGTAGTCAAAGAAGTCACCGACGACTTGTTAAAGGTGGTCACAAGTGACGAATTGTTTTTTTATTGCTAGAAAAGGTTTGAGAGGCCGAAACAAGTGGTAACCTGAGAGAGCAACAGGTGAATAGGGTGGGTGTGGAACCGTGTCTCAGCCTAGCACCTTCAATTTTGCACGGGTCTCTTTACCTACGTGAGGCCTACCGTTGTCATGGAAGAGGTGTACATAAGCTTGCCTGAGCCATTTTCTCGAACGGCTTAGGCAAGTTTTTGCAGCTGACCAGAGTAACAGGGAGCGGAGACGGTGTGGCCTTGCTTGAGCAGTCGTAGTGCAACATTTCTTTCGAATCCCGAAAGCAGCAGAAGAGAAGCTTTCTGGGGTGGTGGCCGGCTTCGGCGTACGTCGGCGGCTGTTCTCTCCACGGGAGCCAGATGTCGCGGTGCTATCAGGGTCATAGAGGATCCAGCTTTCATCTCCAGTAACTAGGTTGTATATCCATTTGTCAGTATCTCCTTCTCCGCCCTCATCACAAGCGCCAGAAAGCGCTTGTGATGTGGGCGGAGAAAGAGATACTGACAAATGGATACTCAAACGTACCGCATACCATCGATCAAGACACGAGGTATCCATCGAGTCAGCACTTTTCTGTAACCGAAGACCTGAAGGCGACCGACCACCGTTTATTGGGCACACCCAATCAACGGTGGTCGGTCGCCTTCAGGTCTTCGGTTACAGAAAAGACTGCACGTGTTAACTCCTAGATTTTTTTGACGGAGTCGTCGAAAGCGAAGAGTCGTCCTGACAGAGGCTTGTCTTCGGAGCCCGTGTCTCCTTGTTGCACCACCCAACATAAGTGTTCCCAACTGCCGCGTGTGCTCCTGCCAAGCTTGGACGCCCTAGGACAAATTTGACAATTTCCCCCTCCCTCCTCTGGGCGGAGTCTGGTCCTGCCAACTACCATGAGTATTCCTATTCTACCTGCTGTAACTACCAAATTTGAACGCCCTAGAGCCAAATCGACAAATTCACCCTTTGAAGCGGAGTCCGGACCTGACACCTATCATAAAAGTTTCTATCCTGCCGCATGTACTTTTACCAAATTTAATGGTCCAGATTCACGGGAACAGCAGCTACAAATTTTCGCTCACACATTTATTTCGCGCAAACCCCGATCCTGTGAGCGGTGTGCGGCCCTTCTACCCACCATGAGTGTTTCCGCACGGCCGCCTTCCTCCTACCGAGTTTGAACGCTTTAGGTCAGCGGTGATCAAGATTATAAATTTCTTGTCGGACACACACACTTACACACCCAAACACATACACACACAAACACCCAGACATTGCCGCGTTATATATATCCAGTTGATCTGCCCACGCGAACGTGTGCATTATATGTCGATCCGCTTATCCACGATGGAGTCGTTCAGCGAAATGTTGGGTTATCAGAATAAGATAGAATTATTAGTGGTTGATCACAGCTCCGTCCACCTCAATGCAGACCCTTTCCACTAAAAAAAATTTGGCCACCCTTCTTTTAAGTGCTCCTAACCATTTTCTCCGAATTCTAGAAAGTTGTTGAAGAAATGGATTTTTGGTCCGAGCCCCGCTTCCCTGTGTCAGCTCCACCCACTTCGATGACTCAACCACACTTGTTCCAATACCTCTGACCACTTCTTTTCCCGTTCTAGAACGTTTTTGAACAGAGTTATTAAATTTTGATCTAAGCTCCGCCCACTTCGGGGATTGACCACACTTGTTCCATTACCTCTAACCTTTTTTCTCCCGTATTCTAAAACGTTCCCGGACGAATTACATTCATTTTTGGAAAAGTTGCTTTCATCTTAATGCACGCCCCGATCATAGTGGGCGGGGCTTGCGATGAGATGAAAGCTACGAGCAAACAGCCTGCTGTAGGCAGGAAGTGCGCGAGGTGAGCATTTATTGAACAAAAAATTAGCGGCACAATTCAAGCGGACAAGGAGGCCTGAAGGAGGGACAACTTGGACCTACTATTGTGAAAAGTGCTTTCAAGTTCAAGGTCCTCACCACAAAAACTTATAGGGCTTCTCAGGAGCGTTCTAGAAGCTAAAGTAGAAGTGAGTAGAGTTAACCAAATATAGAGAATGAATGGACGTCGTGTAGATATTCGTGGTGATTAAGTGAGCACATGAAGTGTTTGAAGTCTGGACCGAAAATCTGTATTCTGTTTCACAAAAGTAGCAATGGAAGAGATCGGTAGAGGCTTTGAAAAGCGCAACCATTGATTGTTTCCTGAGCCCATGAGCAGTGGAAAAAAGCCGAAAGTTGGAGGTCAAGCTTCTGAGGTGGTGTGATCGAGACACTAAAGCGAGCCGTGCTGGAGAAGAAAAATTATAGTCCTGCCTAAAAGAGTTTACGACAAATACCCATAGTAAGCCGATCAGACAAAGGAGTGGGCGGAGCTGAAATCTAAAATCGACAGTCTTTTACGAAAGCGTTCATCGCTGTGCACTCCATCGTTATTCACAGCTCTGCTTCCTTCAGACGTAGGGCCCTGACCCTTGAAAAAGTCCAGCAACTATGATGGTGGTAACGCTGTG